TATGCGTATATCGAAAGTCATATACTATACTTTTAAAGCGAAAGTTAACGCCTATGTGGAATTTCGAAATAGATTTAATATTTGCGACTGCATGTCCGTTCCTAGTCCCTAATGAATTATTCTAAATTCAGAAATGCCACCGAATTATGAATCCAAATATTCCACAATAAAAAACGACATATTATATTTTCATCGAATCATTAGTAGTGAAAAACCTTCTAGTCCGTTCTGAACAAAGTTATTTCTCGAATTTTTTGCTTCGCACTCATTTGAAATATTGGATGATGCAGTTTTGTGACAGCGGCGTTGTATTGCGCCTATTATGAGGGGACAAAATTAGTTCTCATGACTTTTTTATTTCAACGAATATTGAGGTGACAAATTGAATGATAATCGGGTCGATTTTGTTTGAAAATAGCAATATGGTTGTAGAGAAAATATTGCTATCACAGCAAGATTATAGAAAAAGTTAAACTCTGATTTTTTTTTAATCGATTGGGGCGCACGAAAGGGAATCCCTATAATGTTCAAAGAACATCGTGCGTTCCTAGTGAGGATAGGGACAGGAGGTAGGTATTGGAATTTTTTTTGAATTTTTGGAGATTATATGTTGTTGGGAATACTTCCACAGGCAATGAATTCCAGAGCCTAGCCGTTCTATGGATGAAGGAGTCTTGATAAAGTGCTGTTCGACATCTTTCGAGGTTGACAACGAAAGGATGTGCTGACTGGGCTTGTCTTGATTATCGATTTTCGGGAATAATATCCATCAATTCCCAAGACATTCTGTTATATTCTCATAAGTATTACCACGATGTTCTGATTATTCGAAATAATTCTATTGCTTCATTGTTTACATGGTTACATCCAGACTTTGCTTCGCTATTCATGGATACAACGTTGAACATATCAACGCTTATAGACCATTTCAATTCCATTCCAATAAAAACATTTTCACAATACAAGGTGTACAAACAAAAATCTTCTAAAGGGGATATTGGACGTGATAAAAATGTATAACATACAATGTAGAACACTCAGATATGCCACAGAATCACCCTCCATGAAAACCCTCTGATACAGTCAGTGAGTTGCCCGGGGCAAATTGTCGATTGCTACCTTGTTCTCTCTTATTTAGCATTTTTGTGTTGGAAAGTAAAAATACGAAACCAACTTTTGAAAATTCTCTATGAAAGACTCTATGAGGGATGAGGGGTGGGATAGGTGTGGGAGAGTGATTGGGATCTAATAGACTGATTTTGTATCGGCAAATAGACTAGTTTTGCCGACAGGCGTGGTAATGCCAAAGAAGGGAAGATTTGTATTTCGTGCAAAATAATTTATTCAATATTTGTAGCAGAGCGCTTTCGACTGTTAAGTCATCATCAGTGCGTACTCGTCAGGTTAACAGGAAAATTCGTCCACAAAAATATCTTTAGTCCAGTTTAAAACAAACGACATTTAGGTAAAATACGTTACGAACAAATTGAAAAGTGTTTCCCAAAAGGGCGTAAAATATAGATAACAATGTGTTAAGCAGCCATTTTCGCTGCGAAATGTCGTGTTGAAGTCCTTCTTTGGTATATATTCACGTGCACACAGCCCAGCAACCCTCATTCATGGTAATGCTCTGATAGTCTGGTTTGAACTGGTTGATGAATCAGAGATCTTTCTCACATTGAAGTGAGTGTATGGTTGAAGATACTTACCAAGAAAGTAGAACCATGGTATGAAATCAAAACTTACAATATTCTTTTTGTTCTTTGTTTCTTTAGTAGTGGTAAAACTAATATTAGATGACTCAGTCTGCTATGAGTAGAGCAATAACAAAGTTGTTAGCATCATATTCTGAATTCCTCACAAGCGAACAGGAATATAAGAAATGCTAAGGAAGGGTTAATTTCATAGAATATACCTTTCAGAGTTGATCTCGTACAAAACAAAGGGGTATTGGTGTAAGATATAATTTTATGTTATTTTAGAAAGCGCTACATGAGTGATGCTTACATGAAATACATGGACACTAAACGTTCTTGTTCGTCATTAGAAAATATTAAAGACACGTAATTTCAAGGAGAAGAAAAAATAAGCTTGTTATTTGATTTATTATGATGGGGAATGTTGACGTAATAAGATCACCTTCTAAAAAAAATTTGTTCTAAAATTTGTTCTATCCGTCATTCGGTTGCCCCCTTACGAGCAACCCTCAAAAGTCTTCGAAAGTCTTGTGCGAGCAAGGAATGACGGGGGCCTTACCTTTTAACGTGTGATCCCAAACACTTATCTAAACAAGTATTATTCAAAACGTTCAATAATTGTATTTTCTAGTCTCCCACTTTGTACTTTCATGGGTGCTTATAGGCCCTTTTCCCAATCTGTAGATGCGCCAATGTTGGAATGCACAGCCTGCCGGATCCAACGTGCTCGGTTTGATTAATACTTGCTCGAATTCATTTGTTTCTACTTATCATAATTAATTAGGCCGGTTTTCGACCATTCTGCGACTCATTGTCCAAACAGTCGACCAATGGGTGAACGGACAATCAAATTTTATGTGACGATTTTCGTTCAGACGAAGTCGAATGGCACTTTTGGGCTGGCAAAAAGTGCCATTCGCCCGTTTTGAGGTTAAGACATGAGCTACGTTGCGCTCGAGAAAAAAATACACCGTGTTTTGAAGTGAACAAGACTACGAAACTAACACCGAATAAATTTGTCAGATTTTGAAGATATACCACTATACATATAATGGCACTTTCTTTTGAAGTGATTTTAATTATTCATTCACTAGCCCACACTGATATCACTATTCATAATAATTCAACACACCCTCATCAACATGAAATTGCAGCATATAATAGTAATGATAGTATGATACACACTACACAGGCTAGTGAATGTCCCTCTTTCAGAAGTAATTTCAATAAAGAACTCAATATCATAAAACAGATTGCATTCAACAACGGATACAACGTTGATTTGATAGACAGTATTTTTTCTAAAAAACTCCATAATGAAGCTATTCAAGAAGTTTATCCTAGCATCAAAAATAATAATCAAAATTATAGAATTTCAACATATTTCGGATCATCAACTGAAAAATTAGTTTCCTTTCTACATGAACAGGACTCAGAAGTAGCATATAGAACAAATAACACGTTGGTTGGGACGGTTTATCAAAAACAATGAAGACAAAACTTTCAAATTCGAAAAATCAGGGGTAACCAAACTCAACTGTGGATCTTGTCTTAAGGTGTATATATTGGTCAGACAGGTCGTACGTTTGATCAGCGCATTCATGAACATATATAAAATGAATTCATTGAAAAAGAAGGCAAATTCAACATACGCCAACCATATATAAGAAACCATAGTTTTGATAATAATTTCGAAATTTCACACGTAGAAAATAAAGGAATGATACTCAATCATTTTGAACCATTAAAAATCAACAAACTAAAAAATTGTAACATTTCACTTAACGATCAACTAGACCTCAATGACCACTGTTGAATTTGTTTTCTTACTAGGTAATAATATGTATTTGCTATAAACCCTTTCAAGTTGTTCCATCAGTACACCGTATTTTAATGTATATATTATGCCCATTTTCCGAAAATGAAGGTTTATGGAACCTTTCCATAGGTGATTCTAATCCTTCGTTTGTGAAGTTTTTACAAAGTATTCATCGTCTACTTAATTGAATTTGCATGACACCTAATGTTCAAAACGGAAAACCCAATATATAGAGGGATGGATCCATCAAAATCGATAAAACTGATATTATTCGAGGAACTTCTAAAATCTATATGAAATTATTTCATCAACAATGACTTTTCACTCATCATCATTAGAATATTGTTCAATGTGGAATTTTCATATTGATACTTGGTTGTTACACGCAAGAACCTGATTTCCCAACAGGAAAAAAATCACTCTGAGAGATGAGAAAAAAAATGCTAAATCGTTTCATGACTGGGATGAGTTCGAAAAATTTCAGATACTCTGTATAGATGTTATCATATTTTTTTCCATAAGTGCAGAACTTGTATAATTACATCGTTAACAGATTTTCTTTCAGAATTAATAGAACCACTTCCGTCAATGTGAAATAATTACGATTTAATAAGTTCAATTTACACTGCCAAAAATTAGCTTTTTGTGGTTTACATATCGATGAGATAGATTATAGAAGGATACGAAACTATGATTTGTTAGCTAGCTCTATCTATCCTTTAAAAACTGTACCTTGAAACGGTCACAGGAAACTTTATAGCAGAACTATCATATTGCAGTACTGAACACATAGTGTTTCAATAAAAGCCGCTAGATGGCGTTTTATGTCTACTATACCTTGTACTATATCACCAATAATCATCAATTCTCCAACCTTGTACTATATGAATAATGACCCAGGTGCGATTGGCTTGAACATTTTAATTGTTGATGAACTTTCAATAGCTTTCTTTTTCTAATTGCTTTCTTCACAAGGTATATCTAAGTCATTGTTTATACAGCCATTCTTTTTCACTAATCTAAACCTATTTTTCCGTGGGAAAATCAAGGCATCGAGGTGGACTTGAATTATTTGATTTGAAAATTTGATTTTTGGGGTATTTTCAATATTTTTTTTTAAATTGCTCATCTTCCAAAGTATAGGTAAGTTATTGTTTATATATCCATTTTTTTTCTCATAACTTAATTTTCTGTAAGAACATTGGGGTATTTTGAGTCGTTTGTTTCCAAATTGCTTTCCTTCCAAGACAATCTCTTGATCATCTCAGCCTATTTTTCTGTGTGTAAATCAGAAATTGAATTTTGAATTTTGAAACACAAAATATTAGATACTTTTTTTATGATCTGAATCGGTCGATGTAGGTAATTGTGCCAAGCTCAAAAAATTGAGATGAAACTGTATAGAATTTTTGAAATATGATGCAGTGACGATGAATGATGTTGAACCATGGGTTTCCACTGACCAATTGAAGATAAAGACAGATTTATAGGTACCAATTTTTTATTATTTCATAGTAGGATATCCAACATGTAAAAATGAGTATTAATACTTCTTATCATTACAGACAATTATGTATAAAGGAAATATGGCAGTTTCTTTTTTAAAACGTACGTACGAAAAATATACAAGAAAAACCTGACATTCTTAGTAACTCTACAATATATTAAGTGAGTGTATTGCTTCTATCACAATCATTTGTTTTAACTTAAGTATGTACAATAGAATATCATTAAATTTATACAGGCCGTTCATTTATTTCAACATTCAAAGTATTCGTACTAATCATCAATTCCTTTTTTCGAGCGAATACTGTCGATCTAATCTTCTCAATTCCTTCTTGGACTTCTTCAGACATCCCTCTATCCATTCCACGTCTGGAGCTACATAACCTCCGATTTGGCCCTTTTGCTTGCATCCCGTGTCCCAGGAGTAGATTCCAGAGAGGGTGTAGATCCCTTGGTCATTGGCACATGCCAAGGCACTGCCATAATCAACCTACAAAATCAAATTGGTGAATCAGATATTTTTCAAATACTGTCTGTAGGTTAATCGAGGACGTGGTACATTCATTTTACTTGATTTTTTTGGGATTTTCTCCTCGTTTCTATCAAATAAAAATATGCGTATTATTTCAATATATTTGTAGTGGGACAAATCAGATGATTTGCCCCAAAATGTCACTGCGTTTAACAAAATTTTCTATGAGGGAGCTTAAAAGAAAAATCCAGTAGCTTGTCAGTGACAGTTTGTTTGAGAAAATGTTTGAACGAAAGAAATATAGATACTTATATTGAAAAAATGTCGAACTTTTACTTATCTTTGGACGTTTCGGGAACGAATCTGCTCTCGTTCTCAACATGAAAATGCAAAATATTTTTCTTTGGAGGTTGTGCTCTGTTTATAGTTTGACACTTTTCAGTGTCATACTGATGTTGGCATATGAATGAGTGATTTTAGTCTACAAATGAGTTACAGGATGTTTTCATTAATTTATCATGAATCTACCATTTTCATGTTCAGTTTTCAGTAGTGAATGCCATGTTATATCTATATCAACTGAACAGGATCAATGCTATTGTCTCCGTTCAGAAGAATGCAGATCCGGATTTAGAGGTCTGGAGGCCCTGGAGCAAAAGAGAGTAGAGGCCCCCTGGCTCCTAATTGTTTTCCATATAAAATTAACAAATTTCTCGGTCAATTATTTTTGTGAAACCATCTAAATCATTTTAACATATACAGGGTGTTTTTTAAATACCTGTAAAAAATTCAGGAGCATGTTGCTGACGGTTAAATATGAAGAAGAGTTTGTAATAACATATGTCCGCAAGTTATTCACTCTGAGATACAGAGTGTCAAATTTTCATTTTTATTTCGGTTTTTTGTGAATGATTTTCAAAATAATCGTGATATTCGGGTGAGATACCAAATTTCACTCTTATAACACGTTAATTTCTGAATTTACTCACAAAAAACAGGAGAAAGAATCAAACTTTGACACTGTGTATCTCAGAAATAAATAACTTGCAGACATATGTTTATACGAACTTTTCTTCTCATTTTGACGTCAGCAACATGCTCCTGTAATTGTTATGCGTACATAAGAAACACCCAGTAGAAATATTGTCAAGAACAAAAATTATCTGGAAGAAGGTTCTGTCCCATCGAAGTTCGAAGCCTATTTTTCGTTCTCCAGTCCAATTCTGTGTTATCAAAAGCAAATACATTCTCAGTGCAATTCCAATGTTCGGGGATATAATTCTTGAACTTTCATCTTCAAGAATGTCGTATCAAAATACCTCAGTAGATTGTTTTTTCCCTAGTCCTGTTTGATGACAACGAACACCCATTCTCTGAGGCTACTGACAAGTATTGCCCCACTCAGCCATTGGAATAATCTTATCAAGATGGGTAGTAAATGGCAACAACTGTTTATCAGGGCCATTTTAACAAATAAATAATTTCAGAGTGAAGTGAACAGATATAATCAAATTATTTTTCAATATTTAAGAATATTATAATCATGTTTCTACAAAATACTAAGGGTAAAACAACGAACTCAACTTATCCAAAAGAGATATTGAAGGAAAACTTGTTCACTAATATTCATCCGTCGAAAGTCGAAAGATTTTTTTTCTCTATTGAGGGCGTCCTTTTTTTGTGGAGGCCCCGGGGCTGTAGCCCCGGATGCCATTCCCTAAAGCCGGCACTGCACCTTGTATATGTATATTCGGCAGTCGAAAATTATGGTAAATCAAAATCGATCGAAACATTTTGATTTTGAGCAGTTTAAGGCCGATTCATGCAACAGTCATTATGATTACATTTTCATTACATTATAAATTAAGAATGTTGAGAACTCCTATGTCATTGAATGCGTTCATGCAACACATTAACACATTTTCATTACATTTTCATCACATTAGTGCACTAAGAAGTTGACCAACTTCTAACTTTTCATTATAATTACATTATAGTTCTAGTGTAAACGACTGATTTGCAAGATTAGATCATTGAATGATCATTTTTTCCACAAAACTTTTTGTGATTCACCTCAGATATTATATTCAAAATAAATCCATATTCTCAAATAACCTGTAAACATTTGTAAAATCCAAGCAGATCCAAGATGAACGGGTAGCCCGCGGCTAGTGAAAATGTAATTTTAATGTAGTGAAAATGTAATTATAATGAATGTTGCATGAATCCGCCTTTAGTACTCACCTTGCATTGGTCAATGTCAGAGAATCCACACAGAGTGTTAGGGCTGTAGTTCGGTAGTGAGTCTTTGTACTTATCGGCGATCGTCTGTTGGCATTGTTGGTTATCCATGATGTTAACATCAATGTGGTGCATTATGGCTCCTTTAGCATGCACTAAAAGAGAAAAACAGTGCCTTCAGCATATTCCTCTAGAATAACCATATAGGTACTAAACGAAAAACTAATGAGGCCAAAGAACTGAAATGCTATGAAAACTGGAAACAATACACATAAGCTTCTTCGAGTGGAATATTCGCACAATAAATTGACCTAACATTGACTTATCTAACATTTAAATTAGATTTAGAATGGGGCCTTAGGGCTATCCTATTGTATCTGTCCCCAAAATCGTTCAGAGATTTTTGGATAGCCCCGCACATATCTTAGGTTAGGTTACTAGATCTGGTAACATATCTTAGGTTGGGTTACTAGATCTGGTAACATATCTTAGGTTGGGTTACTAGATCTGGTAACATATCTTAGGTTAGGTTACTAGATCTAGTAACATATCTTGGGTTGGGTTACTAGATCTGGTAACATATCTTAGGTTGGGTTACTAGATCTGGTAACATATCTTAGGTTAGGTTACTAGATCTAGTAACATATCTTAGGTTGGGTTACCAGATCTGGTAACATATCTTAGGTTGGGTTACTAGATCTGGTAACATATCTTAGGTTGGGTTACTAGATCTGGTAACATATCTTAGGTTGGGTTACTAGATCTGGTAACATATCTTAGGTTAGGTTACTAGATCTAGTAACATATCGACTTTTCCGTCTCTATTGATAATATGCAATTTTAATCCACACTCAAATGAAGAAGAAAAATTATTGATGCAATCGATTATCTGTCAAACACATAAAACATTTTGTATAGATACACCGCCTACTAAGTGAAATGAATATTTAAAAATAGACTGATAGCCCTGTGGATCATCGTATAAGAGGAACAATTTTTGTTTTAATATTCCAAATGGGAAGATCATGTGATAGGTACATAGCGAAAATAAAAGACAGATAGTTTCTGTACGAGTAGCGAGTAGCTGAATTCGAAAAAATATATTCCTATCTTAGATTCCTCAATATCTTGAGTTATTTTCGAAGGTTTTCACCTTGACTCAAACAAGCTATTGACAACCTGCAGACATTGATCAGAATATCAAAACATTTTGAATAATATCGGTTTACTGATGATATTTAAATTTCAAAGCCTACCAAGTGTCGATGTATCATGGAATTCATGTCACAGCCAACTTATTCTTTTTGAATAAAAAGCAATTCAACAGCGAATCAAGAAATAAATGCCACTGTGTGACACATGGTTGGATAGAGAATTTCAAGGCGAAAAAGATAGACCGAAGAAATGTACAGGGTGACATTTAGAAAAAAAAGTTGGGGTCACTTCCGGTCAAACAGGTGGTCGAAAAAAATTGTCGTTGAGTTCGTAAAGTGCGCTACCATTTATTATATACCCCCTGGGAATTTCAAAATTTCATCTCTTCAGATAAAAAAACTACAGGGTGCTACATGTCTCCTGTGTCACTCGATATAATGCTCAGAGAAATGTTTGACAGAAATCAAATTAGAAATAAAAGATTTTCTCCAATCAATCTGAATCTGATAACTTCAGTATATCATTAAATCTTTATTACATGTGATATCAAAAAATGACGATTCTGCCTTGTGAATAAATATGTTTTCGTATGGAGAAAACCAACTGCTGGATGAATTAACTTATCACGCTGCATTGACTTCAGCAAATTTACTTGAGAAAATATCCTCTTATCATATAGGAGGGTGTATATGAAAATTATCGCGAGTTTATTCTCAATTTCAGCGCCCCTGTAACCTCGAAAGGAACTTTTATCCATCAAATGAGATCTTCTATCAAATGATTTGAGATAATCGAAAAATACATATACCGGGTGACACAGGAGACATGTAGCAGCCTGTAGTTTTTTTATTTGGAGAGATAATATTTCGAAATTCACAGGGGGTATATAATAAATGGTAGCGCACTTTACGAACTTAACAACAATTTTTTTCAACCACCTGTTTGACCGGAAGTGACCCCAACTTTTTTTTTTCAAATGTCACCCTGAACATTTCTTCAGTCTATCTTTTTCGCCATAAAATTCTCTATTCAACCATGTATCACAAAGCGGCATTTATTTCTTGATTCGCTCTTGAATTGCTTTTTAATCAAAAAGAATAAGTTGGCTGTGACATGAATTCCATGATACATCGACACTTGGTAGGCTTTGAAATTTAAATATCATCAGTAAACCGATATTATTCAAAATGTTTCGATATTCTGATCAATGTCTGCAGATTGTCAATAGCTTGTTTGAGTCTAGGTGAAAACCTTTGAAAATAACTCATGATATTGAGGAATCTAAGATAGGAACATATTTTTTCGAATTCAGCTACTCGTACAGAAACTATCTGTCTCCTATTTTCGCCATGTACCTATCACATGATCTTCCCATTTGGAATAATAAAACTTAAAATTGTTCCTCTTATACGATGATCCACAGGGCTATCAGTCTATTTTTTCATAATTATTTCACTTAGTAGGCGGTGTACCTACAGAAAAATTTTTATGTGTTTGACAGTTAATCGATTGCATCAATAATTTTTCTTCTTCATTTGTGTGTTGATTGAAATTGCATATTAACAACATATCGACTTTTTCGTTTCTTGAATACATTTATTTAGGTAGGTTTACTAGATCTGGTAACATATCTTAGGTTAGGTTACTAGATCTAGTAACATATCTTAGGTTAGGTTACTAGATCTGGTAACATATCTTAGGTTAGGTTACTAGATCTGGTAACATATCTTAGGTTGGGTTACCAGATCTGGTAACATATCTTAGGTTGGGTTACCAGATCTGGTAACATATCTTAGGTTGGGTTACTAGATCTGGTAACATATCTTAGGTTGGGTTACTAGATCTGGTAACATATCTCAGGTTGGGTTACTAGATCTGGTAACATATCTTAGGTTGGGTTACTAGATCTGGTAACATATCTTAGGTTGGGTTACTAGATCTGGTAACATATCTCAGGTTGGGTTACTAGATCTGGTAACATATCTTAGGTTGGGTTACTAAATCTGGTAACATATCTTTGGTTAGGTTACTAGATCTGGTAACATATCGACTTTTCCGTTTCTTTTTCCGTCTCTATTGATAATATGCAATTTTAATCAACACACAAATGAAGAAGAAAAATCATTGATGCAATCGATTAACTGTCAAACACATAAAACATTTTGTGTAGATACACCGCCTACTAAGTGAAATAATTATGAAAAAATAGACTGATAGCCCTGTGGATCATCGTATAAGAGGAACAATCTTAGTTTTATCATTCCAAATGGGAAGATCATATTGTGATAGGTACATGGCGAAAATAAAAGACAGATAGTTTCTGTACCAGTAGCTGAATTCGAAAAAATATATTCCTATCTTAGATTCCTCAATATCTTGAGTTATTTTCGAAGGTTGACTCAAACAAGCTATTGACAACCTGCAGACATTGATCAGAATATCAAAACATTTCGAATAATATCGGTTTACTAATGATATTCAAATTTCAAAGCCTACTAAGTGTCGATATATCATGGAATTCATGTCACAGCCAACTTATTCTTTTTGAATAAAAAGCAATTCAACAGCGAATCAAGAAATAAAATGCCACTTTGTGACACATGGTTGGATAGAGAATTTCAAGGCGAAAAAGATAGACCGAAGAAATGTACAGGGTGACATTTAGAAAAAAAAAGTTGGGGTCACTTCCGGTCAAACAGGTAGTCGAAAAAAATTGTCGTTGAGTTCGTAAAGTGCGCTACCATTTATTATATACCCCCTGTGAATTTCAAAATTTTATCTCTTCAAATAAAAAAACTACAGGCTGCTATACATGTCTCCTGTGTCACCCAGTATAATGCTCAGAGAAATGTTTGACAGAAATCAAATTAGAAATAAAAGTTTTTCTCCAATCACTGATAACTTCAGTATATCATTAATTCTTAGTTACATGTGAATTCAAAAAATGACGATTCTGCCTTGTGAATAAATATGTTTTCGTATGGAGAAAACCAACTGCTGGATGAATTAACTTATCACGCTGCATTGACTTCAGCAAATTCACTTGAGAAAATATCCTCTCATCATATAGGGAGGTGTATATGAGACTTCATAGCCTAGCTTTGAGATCCCCTGTGTATCTTTGGGCTCTTGGTTTTGCTTCTTTCATCGTATGGTACCTTAGTCTTTACAAGCCCTCCCATTGGCGAAGTATGTGTTCTGCAGAACCTGCACAACAGTTCTCCAGCCAGACCTATCGTACTCATGTGTTTGTTGAGCCTAAATGCCTTTTGAACTCTGTTTCTGTTTCAGTGAATATTGTCCGAATGTTGGCGAAGGTTTTTTAATAATCTCATTCTGCCTGAACCATTCCTGGCGAGTTGTTCTGCCATTCTTGAGATTTGTATTGCATCCATGATGTGATACTTGTCTTTTGTATAGCTTTCGCAATACCACAAAAGGGTTCAGGACCATTCAGAGATTCACTTGCTCGTGATTGGACAAGTGAGTCTACCTCCTCAGCCATCGTACCCTGTATGTGCTGGTACTTATGCTAGAGTCAGTCTGTTCGTACTGCCCAGTTCATTCAGGCTTTCTAAGCACTACTCACTAGTCGCAGACTAGTGACTAACATTTACATTCACTGTGAATTCCCATTAAGTACAATCTCTAATTAGTGAGGATCCGGAGGTAAACAAATAAAAGATCGGATGTTCATCAATCCCAAAACACAACAACCCAATTTAGATCGATGAATTGACAAATACTCACATTGCAGAATCCTTTTACCCCATCCGGTAACCTTGCAATTCGTCGTTGGCACCTGGTTAGGACTGGGTAAGGCAATGGTACCGACGTTCTTGGTCAACCTGAACTCCTCTTCCAGTACCAGAACGACCAAATCGTTCTGGTATGACCCAGCTTGGTACTCCGGATGTCTGATGACGGCTAACACCTTGATGATTTGGAAGGGCAGTGGTTCGTCGTCTATTCCTAGCTTCCATTCACCTCCTTTGACCAACAAGTCGGTCGTCGCCAACCTAGAAAATATGGATGTTTTATTATGGTTCAACAATACAAGATTGTTTACTTAAATCTCTTGGAGTGCGCGAAAAATAATTCTATAATAATATAGGGAGGACTACTGGGAAAGGTGGCAGGTATTGCATTTTTTTGAACTTTTGAAGATGTTCTTGGGAATATTTTCCTTGGCAAAGAATTCCAGAACTTTGCCGCTCTATTGACAAACGAGTTCTGGTAATGTGTTGATTGACATATTTCAAAGTTGACTTGGTAAGTCATGAAGATACTTTTATATTGAGAGATATATTAATTCTTACCCTTCTACACAATGAGCAGCTGTTAGTACTGCGTTTTTCCTTATGATGGCACCCCCACATAGCAAGCTGCGGTTGGAATCTCTGAGAATCATAGCTTGCCATGGATATTCTGCAAATTCGGCATCGATTGAGCTCCCTGCCGATAATGTAGAATCCTGTAATAGGAACAAATATTCAAAATCATTGCAGTTCGCATACATTGTGGCACCAATTGAAGTTCCTGAAGTTCCTGAAGTTTTAAAATGTCATAGAATCCATATTCACCTGATTTCTTTCTCCATAAGATCCTGAACGAGTCGCGACGAGCTCAGAGGCTGCTATTTCGTTTCCCGAGTATCCCGCATTCCTGGTTCTGTTCGAGTTCCTCGTGAGCCTGTTGGTGAGTAATTCTTGTTGCCCATAGAAGTTGTCCTCTTTGTATTGTCCGTCGTCTACTCCATCCACCAAATTCGCAGATGGCCATGGATCCTCGTAGTAGGGATCACGGCAACATTTGCCCATAGTGCCAGATTCAATGTCTCTGCATTCCTGCAAAATGAAAATTCAAGCTTCGTTATCAATCAGTGAAAGAAAATCTGGAAATAATATCTCGACGTGCTCTATCCGCCATTAGGCTATGGCTGGTTAGTCATGACTCACCCTGTATAGGTCGTGCAAAAAATGTTTCAAGATTCTTTTATTGTACTCAATTACTCACAGTTGTTGGTGCTCTGAGCAGCTCCTGTTCTTTGCTGAGCACCACAGGAACTGGCGACACGAAACCCTCCACTGTGCAGTAGATCTCCTGAACGCATTTTAGCGCAGCAGCGCAGCCGGAGGGCGTGGCCACGTTATGTCCGCCCCCTTGAGTGGGGCGTGGCCTGGTGGGGCGTGGCCTGATGGTGGTGGGCGGCACGAATATGTTGTTGGTGTTGGCGGGTTCGCCCTTGTTGTCTGGACCTTCGGTGGGTCTGTCGGGCAGGCGGAAGTCGCTGTCGATGTTGGAACCCATGCCTGGAAGAGTTTTGTTTTCCATGTAAGGGTTGGTCTATATGGACAGGGTATGGACTTCAACTGGAATAAATTCGCTATCGAGGAGGTCGATACTTTTTCTATTGATGTTTTAATGTATTTACCTACATTTTGCGAGCAAATGAAAAATATAGCCCTTCAGGGGTAGCTGAAACCATCCCCCACCCTCAACATGTTTTTTTCAAATACAACCATGGCTTTCGACCTCTCATTGAACAGCTTTTGGATAGAAGAAATGAAAATACTGATCAAATATCAGTTCAAAGTTTACGTTTGGGTGTTGACTGAAACCAGAATGTAATTTTATAATTGAATTTTTTGCTCCAAATATGTATTGATCTTGATTTTCAGATGTCCCCATAGACAATTCGAAGTAATTATATGCCATCACAATTGATATCTGCTATTTTATGCCAGAGTATTTACACAGCCCAAAAGCATTTCGCATTCGAGATGCAAACAATATTTTTTCTAAAACGGCAGTGAAACTAATAATATGAGGATGAAGGAATAAATATCCAAGTATTAGTCATTGTTAATTGGCATTCCGTGGGTATATACTTATCTGACACACCCAGAATTGACATCTGTTAACTGTGACATTGAAGAACATGCTAAAACTTCCAACGAAAATGTCAACATTAGATGACAGTTTTCAAAAAAAAACAAAAATTAAGTGTCAAAGTCGTATTCACAGTTCGAAGTGTTGTCGCACTCACCTTGGTGTTCTGTGGTTGGAGCAGGTACGTACTGGTTGTTGATGTTGTTCTGGTCAGGAATCAGAGTAGAGGAAGGGTAGCCGAATGTGGGCGTAGGTCTGTCGTAGTGGTACCCATCATCAGTGTTCGTAGGCCTGTGAAATATGGAATTATAATATACAGTGTGTGCTACTTCAACCCCCAAAACCTCCTAACCCTTCTTTCCCTCAAAAAGTGCCCAATTTCGCCCACCCTGTACATTTGATTAGGTACAATGATTTCAATACGTACTGAGTAGTAGGTGGAAGGTATTCCCTATCTGCTTTGCATTGCCCTGAGGGAGTCAGGTGATAACCAGTAGGACACGATGGTCGAGGGGTAGTTGGTCTTCCACAAGTACCATCAGGCCTCTTGACTGTTCCTGATGGACAATATGGAGCTGGCGAAGTTGGTCTCTCGCAGGTACCATCCGGCCTTCTGATGGTTCCTCGTGGACAACTTGGTTGGGGTGTTGTTGGTCTTTCGCAGGTACCATCCGGCCTTCTGATGGTTCCTCGTGGACAACTTGGTTGAGGTGTCGTTGGTCTCTCGCAGGTACCATCTGGTCTTCTGATGGTTCCTCGTGGACAACTTGGTTCTGGTGTGGTAGGTCTTTGACAACTGCCATCTGGTCTTCTGATGTACCCGAATGGACATGCCGGTTCTGGTGTGGTTGGCCTTTCGCAAGTACCATCTGGCCTTCTGATGGTTCCACGTGGACAACTTGGTTCTGGTGTGGTAGGCCTTTGACAACTACCATCTGGTCTTCTGATGTATCCGAATGGACATGCCGGTTCTGGTGTGGTTGGCCTTTCGCAAGTACCATCTGGCCTTCTGATGGTTCCAGGTGGACAACTTGGTTCTGGTGTAGTAGGTCTCTGACAACTGCCATCGGGTCTTTTGATGGTTCCGAATGGACAAGGTTCCGGTGTGGGTGGCCTTCTACAGCTACCATCTGGTTGTCTTAGAGTTCCATAAGGACAAGACGGTGTAGGAGTTGTTGGCCTTTCACAGGTGCCATCTGGTCTTCTTATAGTCCCGAATGGGCATGATGGTGCTGGTGTTGTTGGTCTTTCACAAGTACCATCTGGTCTCCTGATGGTTCCGAATGGACATGAAGGTTCTGGTGTTGTTGGCCTTTCACAGGTACCATCTGGTCTTCTTATGGTTCCGAATGGGCATGATGGTGTTGGTGTTGTTGGTCTCTCGCAAGTACCATCTGGTCTTCTGATAGTTCCGAATGGACATGTTGGTTCTGGTGTTGTTGGCCTTTCACAGGTACCATCTGGTCTTCTTATAGTCCCGAATGGACATGATGGTGCTGGTGTTGTTGGTCTTTCACAAGTACCATCTGGTCTTCTGATGGTTCCGAATGGACATGAAGGTTCTGGTGTCGTTGGTCTTTCACAGGTACCATCGGGTCTTCTGATCGTTCCGAATGGACATGATGGAGCAGGTGTGGTCGGTCTTTCGCATGTTCCATCAGGGCGTCTGATTGTTCCAAATGGACATGAAGGTTCTGGTGTTGTTGGCCTTTCACAGGTACCATCGGGTCTTCTTATGGTGCCAAATGGACATGATGGTGCTGGAGTTGTTGGCCTTTCACAAGATCCATCTGGTCTTCTGATTGTCCCGAATGGACATGATGGTTCTGGTGTCGTTGGTCTTTCACAGGTACCATCGGGTCTTCTGATCGTTCCGAATGGACATGATGGAGCAGGTGTGGTCGGTCTTTCGCATGTTCCATCAGGGCGTCTGATGGTTCCAGATGGACATTGTGGAGTTGGTCTTCGACAAGTACCATCAGGTTGTCTCAATTCTCCTGATGGACAATATGGAGCAGGTGTTGTTGGTCTCTCGCAAGTACCATCGGGCCTCTTGATTGTTCCAAATGGGCATGAAGGAGCCGGTGTAGTTGGTCTTTCGCAGGTACCATCTGGACGTCTGATAGTTCCAAAGGGACATGAAGGTTCTGGTGTTGTTGGCCTTTCACAGGTACCATCGGGTTTCCTTATGGTTCCAAACGGACATGATGGAGCAGGTGTGGTTGGTCTTTCGCAAGTACCATCTGGACGCCTGATAGTTCCAAATGGACATGAAGGTTTAGGTGTTGTTGGCCTTTCACAGGTACCATCGGGTTTTCTTATGGTTCCAAACGGACATGATGGAGCAGGTGTGGTTGGCCTTTCGCATGTACCATCTGGACGTCTGATGGTTCCGAATGGACATTGAGGAGTTGGTCTTTTACAAGTACCATCGGGTTGTTTTATTTCTCCTGATGGACAGTATGGAGCGGGTGTAGTTGCTCTCTCGCAACTACCATCAGGACCTCTAATGGTTCCGAATGGACATGATGGGGCCGGTGTGGTTGGTCTTTCACAAGTACCATCAGGCCTTCGGATGGTTCCAAATGGACATTGTGGAGCTGGTGTCGTTGCCCTTTCACAAGTACCATCAGGTCTTCGGATGGTTCCGAATGGACATGATGGTTCTGGTGTTGTTGGTCTTTCACAGGTACCATCTGGCCTCCTGATGGTTCCAAATGGACATGATGGAGCAGGTGTTGTTGGTCTTTCACAAGAACCATCAGGCCGTTGGATGGTTCCATAGGGACATGATGGGGCTGGTGTGGTTGGTCTTTCGCAAGTACCATCAGGCCTTCGAATGGTTCCAAATGGACATTGTGGGGTTGGTCTCCCACAAGTGCCATCAGGTTGTCTTATTTCTCCTGAGGGACAGTAAGGAGCAGGTGTAGTTGCTCTCTCGCAAGTACCATCAGGACGTCTGATGGTCCCGAATGGACAAGATGGAGCCGGTGTGGTTGGCCTTTCGCAAGTACCATCAGGCCTTCGGATGGTTCCAAATGGACATTGTGGAGCTGGTGTCGTGGGCCTTTCACAAGTACCATCTGGTCTTCGGATAGTTCCAAATGGACATGATGGAGCAGGTGTCGTTGGTCTTTCACAAGAACCATCAGGGCGTCTGATCGTTCCATAGGGACATGATGGGGCTGGGGTGGTGGGCCTCTCACAGGTACCATCGGGTCGTCTGATTGTTCCAAATGGACATGATGGTTCTGGTGTTGTCGGCCTTTCACAGGTACCATCAGGTCGTCTGATGGTCCCGAATGGACACGATGGGGCTGGTGTAGTGGGCCTCTCACAGCTACCATCAGGTCTTCTGATGGTTCCGAATGGACATGACGGTTCTGGCGTTGTCGGTCTTTCGCAGGTACCATCGGGTCTTCTGATTGTTCCGAATGGACAAGGTTCTGGCGTGGGTGGCCTTCTACAGCTACCATCTGGTTGTCTCAGAGTTCCATAAGGACAAGACGGTGCAGGAGTCGTTGGCCTTTCGCAGGTACCATCAGGTCTTCTGATGGTTCCGAATGGACATGTTGGAGCAGGTGTTGTGGGTCTCTCACAAGTTCCATCTGGTCTCCTGATGGTTCCGAATGGACAAGATGGAGCTGGTGTTGTTGGCCTTTCGCAAGTTCCATCAGGTCTTCTGATGGTTCCAAATGGACATTGTGGAGTTGGTCTTCCACAAGAACCATCAGGTTGTCTGATTTCTCCTGATGGACAATATGGTGCAGGTGTCGTTGTTCTCTCGCAAGTACCATCAGGTCCACGGATGGTTCCAAATGGACATGATGGAGCAGGTGTGGTTGGTTTTTCGCATGTACCATCTGGACGTCTGATAGTACCAAATGGACATGAAGGGGCTGGTGTTGTTGGTCTTTCACAGGTACCATCTGGTCTTCTTATAGTCCCGAATGGGCATGATGGGGTTGGTGTTGTTGGCCTTTCGCAAGAACCGTCAGGGCGTCTGATTGACCCATAAGGACATGAAGGGGCTGGTGTAGTGGGTCTTTCACAGCTTCCATCTGGTCTTCTGATAGTTCCGAATGGACATGACGGTTCTGGTGTTGTAGGTCTTTCACAAGTACCATCTGGTCTTCTGATGGTTCCAAATGGACAGGATGGGGCAGGCGTCGTTGGTCTTTCGCAAGAACCATCCGGGCGTCTGATGGTTCCATAGGGACATGATGGGGCTGGTGTGGTGGGCCTCTCACAGGTACCATCTGGTTTTCTGATCGTTCCAAATGGACATGACGGTTCTGGTGTTGTCGGTCTTTCACAGGTACCATCGGATTTTCTGATCGTTCCGAATGGACAAGGTTCCGGTGCGGGTGGCCTTCTACAGCTACCATCTGGTTGTCTTAAAGTTCCATAAGGACAAGACGGTGCAGGAGTTGTTGGTCTTTCACAGGTACCATCAGGTTTCCTGATGGTTCCAAACGGACATGATGGAGCAGGTGTCGTTGGTCTTTCGCAAGAACCATCAGGGCGTCTGATGGTGCCATAGGGACATGTTGGTTCTGGAGTGGTTGGCCTTTCACAGGTACCATCAGGTCTTCTGATGGTTCCAAGAGGACATGATGGAGCAGGTGTCGTCGGTTTTTCGCATGATCCATCAGGACGTCTGATGGTTCCATAGGGGCATGTTGGTTCTGGAGTGGTGGGTCTTTCACAGGTGCCATCTGGTCTTTTGATTGTTCCGAAAGGACATGACGGTTCAGGTGTTGTTGGTCTTTCACAGGTACCATCAGGTCTTCTGATAGTTCCGAAAGGACATGATGGAGCAGGTGTCGTTGGTCTTTCGCAAGAACCATCAGGGCGTCTGATGGTTCCATAGGGACATGTTGGTTCTGGAGTGGTTGGTCTTTCACAGGTTCCATCAGGTCTTCTGATGGTTCCAAAAGGACATGATGGAGCAGGTGTCGTTGGTCTCTCGCATGAACCATCAGGGCGTCTGATGGTTCCATAGGGACATGATGGAGCTGGTGTAGTAGGCCTCTCACAGGTACCATCGGGTCGTCTGATTGTTCCAAATGGACATGATGGTTCTGGTGTTGTCGGCCTTTCACAGGTACCATCAGGTCTACTGATGGTTCCAAAAGGACATGATGGAGCAGGTGTCGTTGGTCTTTCGCATGAACCATCAGGTCGTCTGATGGTCCCGAATGGACACGATGGGGCTGGTGTAGTGGGCCTCTCACAGCTACCATCAGGTTTTCTGATGGTTCCGAATGGACATGACGGTTCTGGCGTTGTCGGTCTTTCGCAGGTACCATCGGGTCTTCTGATTGTTCCGAATGGACAAGGTTCTGGCGTGGGTGGCCTTCTACAGCTACCATCTGGTTGTCTTAGAGTTCCATAAGGACAAGACGGTGCAGGAGTCGTTGGCCTTTCACAGGTACCATCAGGTCTTCTGATGGTTCCGAATGGACAGGATGGAGCAGGTCTTTCGCAAGTACCACTAGGTTGTCTTATGGTTCCATAGGGACATGAAGGGGCTGGTGTAGTGGGTCTTTCACAGGTACCATCAGGTCTTCTGATGGTTCCAAATGGACATGATGGAGGTGGTGTGGTTGTCTGCAAACAGGAACCATTGGGTTGTCTCTCGGTTCCGTATGGACAAGGTCTTGGTGTTGGTGGCTCGTAAGTTGATATGGATGGTGTTGTGGTATCAGCTTGAAACGAAAAAAGTAAGCTAGACTAAGAAATTCCTGAAATTTCATTGGTATAGTCAATGATATTTGTGTACTCACGGAAAGGTGGTAGGTAAGCTGGCCCTCTGATTGTCGAAGCAAATCTGACATCGCTGTCAAATTGAACGTTGCTGTAATCGGGAGTGGCGGAAAATACTGAATTGGCACTCGGCGTGGTATCTCTGGTAGGCTTGGCGGTCTTCGTTGCGCCACTTTCCCCCGCATGGATGACCTGTATCTGACCTGGAGAGGAACCTCGGCCACCGTTGAAATGGAAAAGGCCGTTGCTAGATGAAGATGAGCCCTTTTCGTCGCTGTCTAGCAAATCGTTGATGCTTGTAGGGAATGAGGATTTTTTGGGTGCGTTGGGAAGGATGAAGTCACTAGAGGTACCTGCAGATCGACTCACTCGGCAACAGATCTGAGTGTCTCTGTCGCAGAAGTCAACCTAAAAAGAAACAGCAAAGTTATGAAAAATGTCGATATTTTGAAACATGAGTGAAAGTGTTTCTTCAGTCAATAAGCCAGTATTTTCATAATGGAATGCTTAATTCCACACAACAACTGATTGATTAACAAAGTAGCTTTTCGCGTTGTCAAATCACAACGGGAAATAGTTATTTTTCTCCAAATAACTTCAATAGTTGCTCTTCAATGAGAAGGTGTAGTTTCTCTCAGAAAAAATGCTGCCTTGGCAGAAAAATTTTGTTATTATCCAACGTCCTAAGTAATAATTTGAATGTATGTTTCAAATGGCAGAAAAGCAGATTCAATGCATTGGCTGGTTTCATACCCAAGGCTATGTGCTTTTCTGCCTTTTCCTAGTAAAACAATAGTTTTTTTTGTTTTACTAGGCAGAAAAGCCAAGAATCAATGTAATAAACTTCACAAACGATGAAATGTCCACAAAATCTTATCGTCAAGTAACGACCGATTCAATTCAAAACAATATTTAATGCTGCTGCTAGGAAACCAGCCAAGGCATTGAATCTTTTTTTCTCCCATGTGAAACAATAGTAGATGGTTTTATTAGGACTTTTGATCCGAAAGAAACAAGTTATTTTTCTGCAACCGAAAGAATTAACTAAAATAAATATGTGAAGTAAGATTATTATAATACCTTTATTATAGGTAAGTAGATAGAAACAATACCTCAGACTACTTTACATTAGGATATTGGTGGACGATGATTTTACTCTGTTACAATTCGTGTTGACATGTATCATCAGATACTACAGGCACGAATTCAATACTATACCCGAAACGTGGATGCCGTGCCATATATGCATGCAATGTAACAAGTAATCTGTGACGTGAGAATATTCTACCTGCATTTATAGAACAGGTTTATTCAATTTTCAAGGATGTTCGAATTGTAGTTTCAATATAAATACAACCACAGAGTGACCCATTTGTGTATTATATTGAAATGATGAATCGATGAATTTATTCGGACCAGGTGTCAGCCCTAATAGCAAATACCTCGCCAGTGCCAAGTATAGGAAAAAGAAGTGGAAAATGTTAGGTAAGTGAGCATGACAACAATAATAAAAGCGATTATTTATATCTCTCCATATTCCACTATGTTTGGCTCTGTAATCAAATGAAGGTAATAAACATTATCTTTGTGTGAGACAAAAAAAGTAGTGCTGGCCGTGATTATTCAAAAACAAGTTATCCAATCAATCACATCCCGAGAGGGTATATGAAATGCCAAATCTGCCGAAATCGGGGACAAATCAGGTATGTTTCCCAACCCAAATAACCAACCATATCAATGTTGTTTATTCTTGATGACCTAGTACATCCTTTTCAGTTCCTAGGAGCTAAAGTTCAACTTTAAAAGTGTTGCCTAGCAACAAACCCATGTTTGTGTTAGCGATAGAAACGTCAATTCATGAGCTAATTTTGGTATCAAAATGGACGACTTTTGTGTCGGTTGCAAAAAAAAATTTTTTTTCCAAATTCGTTTCAATTTCACGCAAAGTCCAAATAATCCAACAACTTGCGTTCACTCATCACGTAATTGTAAATTTTGATCACCAATCTGATTCTAATCATTATTTGGAACGATGCATAGCAACACATTTCTTCTGTCTAGGCAGTAAAAGTACACTTTTTATGCCTGTTAAGTATCATTGAGGAACCACCTTCAATGTCATTTGGAGAAAAATCGTTTTCTTTGATTGAAAATCTGTTGCGTTGAAATTAATTGTGCTGCTTTTGACTGGCTCATAGAATACTCAAATGAAAGAGTTGAAATTTCAATGCACTTGAAAAATATCCATTCATTCTACTGTTAGTAACATCACAAAGGTTGTTACCGTGGGAAAAATAATTATCTAAGCATGACAGGATCTGGGGTCAAGTTATATAAAATATCGATTCTCGGTTGTAATGTTAATAACAAATAATAATGATCATTCATCATGATCAAAATGAATAGAATAATAACACGATTGCGAAGGATAATTCACATCATTACAAAATAGGTACTGAACTTGTTTCATTAACAACATTTAATTATTATTATTGTGGTTATTCTTGCTGTATGATTAAGGGATGCAGGATTCACCATTCATGCATTATTTTCGTGAAATTAGATATTATACCAACTAGCTACAGGGAAGTGAGTGAAATCTTTCATCAGATATACTCATTCGCAATGGGCCATTGTGGTTAGTGGTGTATTATTAGAAGCACGACTCTTTCTAGAAATCCCAATCAATGCACCAACATGACTCTTCCGGTTGCAAAAATATTCACCGCCTGCGGATACAATTGCTGATGCGCAATGCAATGCATTACCATCACTTTTTTATTGCTCTTCGAAGAATTGTAACGCAAGTCCTGAGAAACGTGTATTATCCAACCAATGGGTCCATGGACAGATACATGGAGGATGAAGGAAGAGAATTCATCTTTAATAAACTACTCAACACTAATTTCGTCGCACACCAAAATGTCGCCTCTGTTATAATGTGAATAACTTTTTTCAGTTTGAAACAATTTGAATTTGGTTTGCACTGTTCGATAGCCCAGTCCTTCAGCTATAATCTGGTACTTCATTGAAACATAAGGGTATTCGAATAAAATCTCTACATGGTGTTTTCCGACACCGTGCAAAATTTCGGAATATTCAAAAGGCTCTCAAATGGTGAAAAAAATTTTTTTCTCAACTTCGACAACAGAGGCATGAAGATGATGTCATTACCTCGAGATATTTCGCGAAACAACTTCCAATCTCTCTTATTTACAGAGTGATCTCAAAAAATCAACTTTTTGGTTTTGAAGCCATAACTTTTTTCCAAGTCAACCGATTTTGGAAATCTTAGGCTCATTTTGAAGATTAAACTTCAGATGAAGAGATCTGGATATCAGAATTGGCTCAAGATGGCTATCAAAGATCTAGAGTTTTCTTGAAAGTGACCCAAATCTGGAACGCCCTTCGAATCTTGGTTGGGAGGAGAATTGAATGAAAATCAACTTGTTCTCGGAAAAACAATTTATTCTGGATGCGTCCATATTTTCCTCGCTCTCAGTAGTCGAGAATTGTGCGTGAGAAAACACAATTGAAACATGTTCTTGCAAAAACATTAGATCATTTCTCCTCTGTAATGCATGGCCCGCCGTAACCAACGTTACAAGAATCACGATGAGTGACTGACAAACCCGACCAGCTGAGACTTATCATAAATGGTGTACCAACAAGGGCAACGGATTTTGGTTTTTTCAATAAAATGATTTTTTTAACAGTTGTCACGTACATAACATGCGATTTAAGAATATGGAGAAGTATTCAAGAATTCAAGCTATTGTAAAAACGCATTTCAAAAATGGTGAAAGTTTCACGAAAACAGTTTGCCAATTACGTGAAGTTTTCACCGAACGAATCGACAGTAATAACCAAACAATTCGTGTCGGAGATGAGCCCATTGCATGGATCGGACTGTCGTGTTTAGCAGATCCGCGATTTGGAGGGAAGATAAACCTTGTTCCCTCATTTGTGGAATCAGTTCCAACTGGTCGGGCGTTAGATGCGGCATCGAAACTATCAAAATCTTTTTATGATTCGAAAACTACATCTAACCTGACTTGTCAGTCACTTACTGTGATTCTTGTAACGTTGGTTACGGGCCACGCATTACAGAGGAGAAATGGTCTGATGTTTTTGCAAGAACATGTTTCAATTGTGTTTTCTCACGCACATTCTTGAGTACTGAGAGCGAGGAAAATATGGACGCATCCAGAATGAATTGTTTTTCCGAGAACAAGTTGACTTTTATTCAATTCTCCTCCCAACCGAGATTCGGAGGGCGTTCCAGATTTGGGTCACTTTCAAGAAAACTCTAGATCTTTGATAGCCATCTTGAGTCAATTCTGATATCCAGATCTCTTCATCTGAAGTTTTATCTTCGAAATTAGCCTGAGAGTTCCAAAATCGGTTGACTTGGAAAAAAGTTATGGCTGCAAAACCAAAAAGTTGATTTTTTGAGATCACTCTGTAAATAAGAGAGATAGGAAGTTGATTCGCGAAATATCTCGAAGTAATGACATCATCTTCATGCCTCTGTTGTCGAAGTTGAGAAAAAAATTTTTTTCACCATTGGAGAGCCTTTCGAATATTCCGAAATTTTGCACGGTGTCGGAAAACACCATGTAGCGATTTTATTTGAATACCCTTATGTTTCAATGAACTACCAGATTATAGCTGAAGGACTGGGCTATCGAACAGTGTAAACCAAATTCAAATTGTTCTAAACTGAAAAAAGTTATTCACATTATAACAGGGGCGACATTTTGGTATGCAACGAAATTAGTGTTGAGTAGTTTAGTTGTGAATTTTTTTGGACAGCTAAATTATATAGGGTGCCCCTTAATTAGCCTGCCAAAGTTCACCAGCAACTTCTTCGACCACAAATAGGAGGAGAAGTTATGATAAACATGAGTCGAAAATGGCTCCTAAAGGGGACTCCTGAAGGTGATATTTCTTGCATAATTCCGAAACGCCATGTGATAAAATAATGCAATTCTACAAGAAGTAAACGTTCTATGCTCAATGCAGTTACAATAAAACCATTCTAAAATTTTAAAACTTTTTTGTATGCATATTCTTTGACAATGTAATCTCGGATTATGAAAATGTACAACTTTTTGAAGAAAAAAGGTGTTCCTGTGTTCCTATCACAAGAAAAACCGTTAATATATAACTTTACCAATTCCAAGATCTGCACAAATAAAAAACTCCGCTATATATAATGACATAAAAATGTTCAATCACTTACCTAACGAAATTAAAACGATTATGGATGAAAAAAATCAAAGTTTCTGTGAGAAATGTTCTACTCGCCAGTGCATTCTACTCGTTGGACGAAATTTATTCCGTAAAATTTTAGATTTTTCTGTTTTTTGGGCGTTTTAAATCAACTGATACGTAACGGTATTCACTGTGCTATTTCTGTTGTATTTTATTTTATTTTATTCCTATTTCATTTTTTATCACATTTTGATTAATTGTAAAGACCAGAATTTTGAATTGTGTACACCCTTCATTTTTATTTATACCTTTATACCATAAAAAAACACCTCCAATTTCAATAAACTGACGTCTATTAACTAACATTACTAATGTTCGAAATTTATTTTATGTATTTGTTTTTTGTATATATTTATAGATTTTTACTTATATGAATAATATTGACGTATAGTAACATGCTCTAAAATTTTGAGTTATGAACGACATGGTAAATTTCAATATATTTTTGAATATGTAACGAGTTAATTATGAAAAATATGCATATATTCAAATTGCTATTGATGTTGTTCTTATTGTTTTGTTTTTCACTTTGTCAATAGGAATTATCATTCTTCAGACAATAAAGTAATTATTGATTTGATTTTGATTTGATTTGTTCCGTATCGATCAGATGTATCATTTTCGGGTAAAATTGATTCACAAATATTCTTACATCTCACTTATTATACATAAGATAGCAATAAATCGTAGTGGCTATGGATGAAATTGCAAGAAAATGGAGTAGCTTTTTTTCATCGTCTTCCTATTTTACGCGCGCCTTCATGAAAAAACTATATGTATATAGTTGATTTTTGTTGTAGCCACTATGATTTGAAAATTGGCAACATTATCATGATATAACGATACTTCCAAATCGGTTTTCACACGAAACTTATACATCTGATCTATACGGAACAGAAGCACCTTCTTTCTGTAAAGAGGTGTAGATTTTTATAAAAAAAGTTTTAAGTTATATTCAATACAGTCCCACCCTGTTTTACACACTCCTGAATAAAGTTGGCGTTTTGAAAATATTCAGGGAGACCCCTTCAAAAGGAGGCTGTATCTCCCTTAGGATCAATTTTTCATTGGAACTTTTCATCCTTTAGTCTGCGACATCGTTTCACTCGAGAAAAAACTTCAATTTCTGTTCTATCTTCAACGGCTGAGAAAGTAGCGAATCGCCGTCCGATCTTCTATTCCTCTTCGAATTCATGTCAACCATGCTCCATTATATCTAGGTACCAGATCTCAACCTCTTAGCTCGATTTTGAATTTTTACTGAGGTTATGTTTTGTCTCATCGAAAAACTAGAATATCTAAGCAGCTGATCGTGTTATACATTGAATTGAAGGTCTCGACGAGATGGCGCTGGTGTAGTTTGGCAGGCTGATTATGGGCCACCTTGTTTATCGCTCGACAGTCGACACGTCTCGTTAACCGCAAAAAACTTGCGGTCTGGTGTGTATTCCCTTTATTTATCATGCACACGAATGCATCAGTTATTATTTGTCAAGTGGATTGAATATTCGGAGAAAGTGGCACATTGGTATATTGTAGCGATGCTGATGATGCAGTAGGCAGCGAAAGTTTCGGTACCTTTAATACATAATACTCAAAGGTCAAAATGTCATTGATGTTCGTATTTTTATATGCCAGATTCGCACGATTGGTGATAAATTTGTTTACCCACCTACTGCTTCGCTTGAAGTAGTGACAATGAACATATTGTTGAGATTTTACGATGGGAAAAATTGGACATCCTTTCTAATTCATTTCAAGTGTATGTCCCACTCTTTGCGAACTCGCTTTGGATTTGAATTCACGGGAGTTGCGTTCTTGAAATTGGTTGCTATAATAAAGTTCTCAACACACTCCGAATCTGACTTTTTACGACAACCTGTATTTTCCGAAGAAATTGATTAATTTGCTCGCGGTTTTCGGTATCAGATGCAATATTTTGTCGACTTCAAGAGGGCAGCTACAAAAACAGAGAAAGTCACCAAAACGAAACTTACACCATATTTTCAAATTTAAAAAATTAACATCAGAACGAAACTTTTACGAATAGAATACAATAGATATTCTCATAAATATGGGCTGATGTGAATCTTTCATGTCTGCATGGAACTGTCATCTGACAGATTTGGTTTTCATCCAAATTACTATATCTATAGATATAAATAGAGAGAAAAAACGACCAGTTCTGTAACTTCTGAATCATTCGTGATCGTTTGAAATAACCCCATCGAACCTGGTATCGTTGAATTCGCCATGATAATCCCTAACCGATTATGGAATAAAATATAGGGTGTCCCATTTGAAAATCAGAAGTTGGGGTCGTTTCCGGTGAAACCGCGAGTGATAGAACAAACATATTTTTGTCAATAAATGAACCATTTTGGTATAATTGCTACACACCAATTTTCAAAATCCGATCTCCAATGATTCAGGAAGATACACCACTATCCGTTTTTTTGCACTTCTCGTATACACGTATGTGAGGGAAAATATATCTTCAAATTATCGAAATGTTTTCAAGAAATGAAAATAACTGCCTCACGGACTTTTTTTCTGCTTGAATCAATGGATATATATTTTTTCAGAATCAAAGAAAAACATTCAGGTGTAAACCTTTTTTCTGAAGGCAAAAATGGAAGAGTTGATGATATTAAATTGCGTATCACCTGGTACATAGGTGATACCCAATGAATTGTCACCTGGTACATCTTGACCATGAATACTGATTTATAACACTTTTGCTTCGAATATATTCCGAAAATTTAAAAATACACGATAGATTTGCTAATATTTATATATGTTCTTAGCCACATTATGTTTGTTTGGCACTAAATCCGGGTAACGTTCTTGAATAATTTCATTTGCATATGCCTATTTATATATACGTATTATGTAAGAATCAGAAGTCTAGCTCTTTATACACCCAGTGTGAAATTTTTATTCCCCAAGGATTTTACAGTAGCGGTATATATTTTTACTCAGTTCTACATAGCGAAAGCATTTTACAAGGTGTGGCATGATGGTATTTTGTACAAAATGATCGATATGGGCTTTCCTGACGATTTGATTACGTTGATGTGTTCATTTCTGAAAAATTCAACTTTCCAAGTGAAACTTGATGATCAACGATCTGATATCAAGCCCATTGATGCTGGTGTTCCTCAGGGTGCAGACAGAAAGCTAACCTGGGCCCAGCACATTGAACAGCAAGTTTCAAAAGCTCAACGAACCATTGGAACCCTGTATCTATTTCTAAACAGACGAAGTAAATTGGGTTTGAGTTTGGGTTTTACTGTATGCCTCGGTAGTCTGTGGCCACACAGCTGAATCTCATATCACCAGATTACTAACATTACAAAACAAAATCGCGAGAATGGTAACAGGATCTCCTTGGTATGTTCGAAATGACCAGATCGCTAGGGATCTGAAACTCCCTTCAATCGTGTCCATCATTAGAGAACGAAACATAAAGACTCACGAAAAAGCTGAGGTTCACGAGAATCAGCTTCTTAGAAATGCAATTGATTATGACCTAGGTGATCAATCGAAGTTCAAAAAATCGAGATTATCCATAAACTAGAGGAAATATCCACATTATGACCAAAGTTATTATCCTCCAGTTGTTGTTATTTATTTGTTCGGCTCAATCTTTTTCAATTCTCAGAATGTATTTCTGAAACTTATTTGATGGTCGCATCAAACTTCAATACCGTTTTCATTTTGTTTTTTGTGTTTTTGTTTCATGATAGATATCAGGATAAGAGGGACTCTTTCCTGGTCTGAATCAAATAAAAGAAAAATCCAATATCATTGCGTTTTGTACAACATTTTGAATACAAAAAAATGAGTTCATCAGACTCATATGACGAGAAAAATGCTTTCTAGACTTTCTACCATTTTTCACAGCTTTTATCTCGCATAACATCCCAGTAGGTGTAGTACGAAATACTTTCTCTCATTTTGAGACAGCATATTCGATAATCTTGGAACACGATTGTAATCTATCAAATCACTATATGGAAAAGTTGTTATCCAATTGTTATAACCATTATGTGTGATGAATCTGCGTTCAGATAGTTAATATAGAAAGTGAAGTTACTTGTTGCTTGTTACAACTGAGGACACAAAATGTTTAAGCGACCTTCAACATCGATTTATCTGTGATTATGATTGAGAAGAGATATAGGGTGTCACAGGCAATAAAATGCATAACGTGACAGCAGAAATGAAGAATTACGAACGAGATCGAGTCTGGATATTTCTCACATTTTGAAAAAGTTCTTTCTTGCTTCCAATTCAATTGTATCAGGAACGCCATAAAAAAAATCATGATTTTTTTATTCAAGTTTTCTTGATTCCTATTTATTTTTGTTCATTAATAAGACAAGCTGCTAATTTCACACGTTTTTTATTTTCTCCCACCGTTCTTCGAATTTTTATGTAAATAAATTCTGTCAAAAAATATTCGATCCTGCCATTTGCTGACTGAAATCGACTGGGAAAGGAAAAAGCTGATATAATTGAGTTGTTTCGTACAGACACAGCACTATATAATCACCTATGTGGTTGAATTTATATTGAAACAATGTGGTTGAATTTATATTGAAACTACAATTTGAACATCTTTGAAAATTGATTGAACCTGATCTGTTTATGCAGGTAGAATATTTTCACCACACGGATTTTTTGTTGCTTTGCATACATATTTTATGGCACGGCATTGGTGGTTAAGAAAAAAATAGCATGTTCCATTCGGAACAAAAGTGACTTTGTTTGACTCGCAAATTTTGCTTTCGCTGAACATCGCTGGACGCTCCGACTCGCAAATGCAAAATTCGCTGGTCCCACAAAGTGTCACTTTTGATCCTAGTGAAACAATCTACTATTCTCGTGTCCTGGCTTTTTAGCAACAAGTGGACAAATCATGTTTTTATTTTGTATGTACTCACATCGACTCTCGATTGCAACAATCCACTCCCATTATCGTTGACGACTCCGTTGTTGCAGAGGTGTTTGCTGACGCAGATTTGCTCCGGTCCTCTGCAGGCTGCTTCTTGTTTGGCTCCGGCTTGGTTGAAAACAGAACCAGCTTGGTCGAAAGCGGAACCAGCTTGGTTGAATGCAGAACCAGCTTGGTTGAATGCGGAACCCGCTTGGTTCTCGGGTTTCGTGGTGGCGAATGGTTTTTTGTTAGCTAGCGGGTGAGTCGTGGCGAATCCGGGTTTTCTGGGCTGGACTCCCAGGAAACCGTTTTCGTCGCTGACTTTGTCACCATTTCCTTAAAAAATAAACATATTGGACTATCCAACTTTTGTTTTACAGTTTCGCTCTTTCCGAATTTTTCAGAATCTTTATCTATTAACTAACATATTTTACCTTAATGTCGTTAGTTTTAAACTGGACCAAAGATATTTTTATGGACGAATTTTCCTATTAACCTGACGAGTAAGTAACCTCACTTTTATCAATTTCCAAATTCATATTTAACAATTTCAAATTTCGATTTTATTATAATGTCTTTTTCAAATCAAAAGTTTATCAAAAAGTAACAAGTCACCAATTTATTTTGTAATACTTCACTTTTTCAATATTAAACAAATTTCCAAAAATTTTGTTCAAAAAAATTTTTTTTTTCAAAAATATTTTTTCAAATTTTTTTTCGAATTTTCAATTCCAATTTCTTTCCAATAGCTAAAAGCAGATTACTTACTCACAGGTACGCTTTGATGATGACTTAACAGTCGAAAGCGCTCTGCTACGAATATTGAAGAAATTATCTTGCACGAAATACAAATCTTCCCTTCTTTGGTTATGCGATTATGGCACGCAGCGAATTGGGTCTCAAACTCAAGACATATCTTCAATTTTCTGCATATATCTTGGGAACCTCTACACTTAGGCATGCAGAATGTCATTACTTTCAGGTTAGGTATTGATGAGGCTAACTGATATCATACACCAATTTGACCATTCATCTGTATACCGGGTGGCTACGGAAGTATTGCCTACGGAATACCTCAGTTATTGTATGAAGTAGGTTTGTAAAATTTGAAGCGTCGATATAATGACATAAGAGCTAGAATTTGAGCATATTGACATGTCGAAGTAAACTTCCGGTCTGACCGGAAGTAACATCAACTTTCTTATTTTAAATGGAAACCATATTTTTTTCTTTTCGCTTTATTCAGCATTCAATTCCCTTTTTAATGACATATCACAAGTTGATATCTAACCAGAAACTAGATCAGAAAAAAATTATTATTGAAATTCACCGAGTAGGCCGTGGAAGCAAAATTAAAGCCAAAAATTGAAAAGTTGGTATGGAAACCATACGTCACTTGATAACAGTTGCTACTACTGTGATATTTTATTTTCATTCGTCGGCGTTATAAAAAGCCGCCAAAAAAATATTGGAAAAATTGGGAAAAAAACAATAATAATTGGATTTTTTGGTATTTCATTTCAAAAAATGACTTTCTATTATATCATTAGAAAGGAATGGTTATGCTGAATAGTACAGGCAAGAAAAAGTTGTATGTTCCTATTTAAGTTATGGACCTACAGAGTATTGTTTTTTTCCCAATTTTTCCAATATTTTTTTTGGCGGCTTTTTATAACGCCGACGAATGAAAATAAAATATCACAGTAGTAGCAACTGTTATCAAGTGACGTATGGTTTCCATAGTCAACTTTTCAATTTTTGGCTTTCATTTTGCTTCCACGGCCTACTCGGTGAATTTCAATAATAATTTTTTTCTGATCTAGTTTCTGGTTAGATACCAACTTGTGATATGTCATTAGAAAGGGAATTGAATGCTAAATGAAGCAAAGAGAAAAAAAAATAGGGGTTTTATTTAAAATAAGAAAGTTGATGTTACTTCCGGTCAGTTCGGAAGTTAACTTCGACATGTCAATATGCTGAAATTCTAGCTCTTATGTCATTATATCGACGCTCCAAATTTCACAAACCTACTTCATACAATAACTGAGATATTCCGTAGGCAATACTTCCGTAGCCACCCGGTATATACTACTCTAACTACGTCACTGGTTGACAGAATCAAGAAATAAAAACTCTATGTATTCACCCTGATTAATCTGGATCGGTATACCAAGTTTCATATTTTTTGCTACAGGGGTTCTGTAGAAATTTAGAGAAGAGAAAAGAAAACTTTTCCGTACTGAAGACACCCTGTATCTCAGTGAGGATGCATTTCAGGTCATACGTTGAAATGAAATTTTCACCTCAAAATGAGTTGAGGAATCCGTGTACGAAGTTTTTCGGTCTTATTCTGCCCCCCCCCCTGTATACCATACCCCATATATCTCTACCAAGGAAGTCAGCTGAAGCCAATTTATTTTACCTTCCACGAGAGGTAATTTTTTTTTTCTCCCTTGAGAGTAAATATACTTGTTTGTCTCCTCAAATGAGGGAGCAAACACTTACTTTCAATGCAGTGAGTGGATAAGAGTCTTATTCTGATTCCAACAACATGTCATTGAGATATTTACATCGAATTTTGAATCACTCTGTATCGATCAAAATTGAATATTACCTGCAGTGAGGAATTGGCCGTTCAAGAAAGGATTGTTGCTGACATCGATGCTGTTCCTGGTTTGGGCAGCCGGTACTCCCGCGCTGGCGAAAGAAGAGGAAAACGATGAGGCAGAAGAAGAAGAACCGCCAGCCTCGTAGACCCCGTTCAAGAAGGGGTTCTTTTTCAAGTCGAATTTCAAGTTGCCCCCTTTGGTATCGCCGTCAGGCAGCAGGCTTGCAGGTGGCAAACAGTTTCCTGAAATACAAGTTAGTAGACGATTTAAGTAGTGCACATTGGAATACTTTCTTGTTATTATGTCTGACTTTGAACGGCCTTTTTTGGGATGAGAAAGGTTATTCATATGACGATAATGTCAATTGCACTCCAGGACTAGGAAAAAAGATGTTCTGAATATTGTGTGTATATTTATCAAGGACGTGGTACATTTATTTTCACATATTCTTTGTGATTTTCTCTCCTCGTTTCTATTTAAATAAAAATATGAGTATTATTTCAATATACGTGTATTGTTGAAAAATCAGATGATTAGACCCAAAATTTCATTGCGTTGAAAAAATGTTCCTATCAGAGAGCATAAAAAAAATCAATCGATTATCAGTGACATTTCTTCTTGAAAAATGTCTAAAGAAGAGAAATATAGATATATCGAAATAATATGAAATTTGTTCTTCTACTAGATGTTTTTCAGATTGTCTTCAGATATCAGTAATTCGCTTGCATTCTTCTTTTTGTTCAGGTGATATAGATAGAACATGGTATTTACTACTATAGAAACTGAACATGAAAATGGTGAATAATTCAAAATTAATTATTGAAAACATCCTGTAACTCATTTGTATACCAAACTGAAGATACGCCACTGAGAAAATTTGAAAAAATATAATTTTTCATTTTTTATGTTGATAACGGGAGTAGATCCAAAGATAAGAATACATTTTATAAATTTTCGATAATTCTATATTTCTCTTCTTCAAACATTTTCAAAATAAAGTATCATTGATAATTGATGAAGTTCACTTTCAGGATCTCTCATACTGACATTTTTAGCCCAGTATATTCTGGAGAAAATCATCTGATTGGTCCTCACTACACGTGTTTTAAAATAATACTCATATATTTATTTTTATGGAAACGAGAAGAGGAAATCAAAAAAATCTGAAAAAATTAACCAATTTTGATGAATTTGAAATAAAATATTTGTCTCAATTTCATGAAAATCAACCGTTATTAGAAAAGGGTAGGGTACTCTGTTCCACGAAAAAGTCCCGTTTCATCTTGCCGATAAGTTGAAGGGTAACGAAGATACGAAAGGTACTCTAAAAGTGAAATTTTTCAATTTTGCCCCGTGTTTCTCAAAAATGAAATGGGCTATGATGTGAAAACCGCAATTCTTTATCTCCAAATACAGCTAACATATCTCGTAAAAGTATTGAAAATTTGGATAAAAATCATTCAGCGACCCATTCCATGTTGTACCGATAGGTTTAGTGAAATATAGAAATATTATGTTGAAAATTTGATACCTATAACATTTTCGACCAATCAAAAGCCTGTACTTTGTATCGTTACCATAGCAACTAAACAAATTTCTGGGAATTTTTTCCTTTTCCTTGGGAGAAGGAGCATGAAATTACACTAGACATTCTTTGACCAACTTTAGCTAAATGAATTTGTAAGAAACAACATTCAATTAAAGTCGTTTATTCATGTTTTATTCAACTTCAGAACATTAGGTGAGCAAATTTCAACGGTACTAAATAGTTTACGTCGAGTTTCTTGCGAGAAAATATATTTCTACCAACTTCAGTGGAATGAATTTGTGAAAAACTGGGACTAATTTCGACATATCATTTTGAGAACAACTACAGAGTAAGTTAATATAGTGTTTTATGTATAGCGTAATCTTATCCTAGTATTTTTTCTAATTTCGGTCCTACCGAATACCACTCTAGCTTCAATTAAAAACCGGTAATAATTAAAGCTCTAGTGGTATTATAAGTGAAAACTCACCTGTCGACGAGCACTTCTTGTAGTACTCGTAAGCTTCCTTCAGAGGGCTGTTCGTGGCCATCCACCAGAAGTTCTGGGGGTTGCCGCCCTCCGAGGCGCTGTGAGCGAGGGCGTTGACCTCATTGGGGTCGGTCGGGAGATTTCGGCCGCCCTGTAAGACGTGCGACACGTCTGCTAAGGCAGCCGATATCAGTATCCCCACTAGGAGTAGTGGAGACATTTTTTTGTTGGCGATTCTGGAACGAAAACAAAAAAAATATGATTAAAAAGTAGGAAAAATGCGGTTATTTTGGTTCGCACAATCTGGCAACGCTGGCTGGCATCAACTTTTTCATTTCATCCGCTTGGTATGACGAGTGACCCCTCGTTTTGTAGGTCTGCCGATGGCAAATTCAACGGTTAAGTTACTTTTTGGATACCTCGAAATTTTTGAAAAATTGGCGAAGGTATATCAACATTTTCATCATGGAAATTAACTAAATCGAGTTGCACCTCGTTTGAAAGCCTTTGCATAGACGGATTCATTGGTTTCAGTTTATTTAAAATTTGATAACATTGGGAAGGGGAAATATCAGTTTTATTCTTGAGAATTCTGATCAAATGATGATGAAAAGTGTGATGTTTTGCAGTTTTCTTGGGTTCGCACGATCTAGGAACACTGGCAGGTTTCAACTTTTTTATTTCGTTTGCATTTTATGCCAAGTGACCCCTCGTTTTATAGGTCTTGCAGAGGCAAATACAACGGTTTAGGTACTTTTTGGATAAATCTAAATTTTCATAAAATTGGCGAAGGTGTCAACATTTTTATGTTGAAAGTTCACTATATCGAGTGACCCCTCGTTTGAAAGCCCTCGCAGGGAAGAATTGAACGGTACGGTTTCTTCAAATTTCGGCAACATTGAGGGAGGTGAATGTCAGCTTGTTTGTATTCATCACTAACGAGATGACCTTTCTCAGATAGAAAGATTCTTGAGAATTATAATAAAGGTGAGCTGCCCGGTATTAGAGATTGAAAAACATCCATATTATACCTAGTTACCATTAAGATTCTTTGGAAAATACCAACTCTATAGGAGAAGTAATTATTGAGAATTGAGATTGTTGTTGTTTTACGTGTTTTGTGTGCGAAATCGAGTGTACTGATAATTATTACATTGCTATTAGTATACAGGATGTATCACGACTACCGAACATTCTTATAGGCTTGTTTTATATTTCCCAACACGATTTTTCACAGGAGTTCAATGAACAGAGTTGACTAAGCTACAGGGTGGAATAATTCAGAAAAATGAGCAACGGATTGAACAATTGCTAGTAGATTTCGTGAATGTATGAATAAACTTCCTACTTAGAGAAACACGTTTTATCCACGTTTAAATTCTGAATAATTGTAAATGTATCCTTGAGAATGATGAGTCTCAGAGAAATCGTAAACGAAGAATGAAAAAAAATGAGTAGATAACCTTTATGCGTAACTTGATTAACATCGAGAAAGACGATTCTCTCGTACATTATGTTATTACTTTCCCTTGGCCGTATATTATCGAATTGGAGGTTTCTTGAGAGACGCGATAATTTTCGCGGAATTTATTGAATTTCATCGAAATTTACATAAAACCGAATTGTTCGCAGGTGTGCTCAGCTCATCGTTATTGCATAATTATTCTAGAATTATCATCAATGTCACACTCGCCATCTAAAATATTTCAGATACAAAATAATATCAATGGAGAGAAAAACGAACGTGTCTACAGGGCGATCATTTCCTATTTTTCATTTTTAAAAACTGCGGTACTTTTATTGAATCAACCAAAGCTGCTGATAGTGTTTGGCTGGTTAATTAAGGGACATCTGGTATAATATGTATTTTGTTGTCAAAGTATGAGAAACAATTCCATTCAATCATTTCTTTCGAATTCTTTCGACTTCAAGGTACTGTTAACTCTTCCATTTCTTATAAATAACATAGTCATATAACTAATTTATATTCATCAGTCATGCCTGTTTGCCTGTATAGAAGTTCAATTGATAATTTTCCGTTTTGAAAGGTCAAATGAGCCTTTCTCGTCTCGGAGCGAGCATCTTCAAAGTATTTTTTATGGCCGATATGTGGTTTCTAATAATTCTAATGCATCTTGCAAAATCTTGAAGTTGTTGTACAACACTATCGGGCTTCTCTGACATATACTTAATTGCTTCGGATCGGTCGTTTTGAATGATACTTAGATTGGGCAAAGATTATTGCCCAAGAGAGGTTATTAGCACCTTTTCTAAATTGTGGAGTCAACGAGATAACAATTACTCGTAAGCAGCACTAACAAACACATTAATTGCATGTATACAAGGTATGATTATTTATTGGGACATCAATCACGAGATTGTCTGTACTCTTATTTTGGTTAGTATGTAGAAATGTAAAATGCACTGTCTAGAACTTTTCAGAACGTTAGGTCTATATCGAAACTATTCAAAATTTAAGTAGGAGAGAAGGAGGTGATTTTATGGACATAGTGAATAAAACCTGCTCATTATATATATTCAAATTCTAATCTTTGACTTAATTTTTATAAGTGGTTTTCAAAGAACTAGTTTATTCTGGATGTTTCTATGTTGAAGAAAAAGGTAACAACTGTTGAAACTCCAGAGAGGATCGAGACACTATTTTCGAGATGAATCAAATCCAAATCCAAAATCTGATGTTTTGTGGGTAGATTATTCATTTATTCATAAATTGATGATTTTAAAATAATAGCATGATGCTAATAATAATTAATATTTTCAACTTCGCAAAGGAAACCTTTATCGACCCTTGTCCATACCATATTTTTATTGCCAGCACGCTTTCATCAGCATCAGGTATGTATGTTTGTATATTTGTATGTTTGTATGATCGAAATCGAATTGAATCACTTATCATGAACCGATGACAAGATCATGAACTTATAGTTATCTTAATCAGGGTGTTCTGGACGAGCGATATTTTTCCTCAACCAATATTTCAAAATGCTCCTTCGCCAAAATTTAATAAGATTATTTTCCATACCCTTATCGGTCCCAGAAGATTGCCAATAATTTCATTGAGTTTAAAAAAACCATCCGAAAACAACTCACGATAGATAGATAGATAGATAGATAGATTTATTGAAGCTTTCAATTTAAAACAGTTGAAAAACTGTTTTAAATTGAAAATTGAATGGGGAAGACCACTGAGGAAAGAAATCCGTGCAAACCTCTTTCAATCGACGAATCATGATTTACATTTTATGTACAATCAATAGTATGAGTTGAAGTTGAAGGGAATCGAATCTATATCGTTTTGAAATCAGCATATTTCATTTGATATTTCAAACAGCCAAATATGATGATGGAGTCGTGACGTATTAGTACCGAACTGTAGCTATCTCTCTCTAATACCTCGTCATTCTGCAGTGTTGCAGTGTAATTGGTCAGTTCAAGGACAATAGGCGTGTTGGGACTAAGACGTCGCACCAGTCACACCAATGAATTGATGAAATTTCAAATGGCGCAGGAATTGTGTGTTTTGAAATGGACATATACTAATTTATTTTTTTCATCGTCTTAGCATGAATGAAAAAATCCAAAATTAATTCACTGGTAGTTTTTCAGTATAGAGTTCACGATAATGTCGTTTTGAAAAATCAGTGGTCTTCCCCATTGAAATTGAGAAAACTAAGATGGAAACTCAGTGTTTTCCATTTGGCTACTTGTGAAGAAACTATTTGTCTTTCATTTTCGCCATGTAGCCAAAATATGATCATCCATTTGGATACATGAAACTGAAATTGTTGTAATAATTGATGTATCATTCTAATACATCTGTTCATAAGTCTACATTAGTGTATTTTCAGTAGCATTTCGCTTAGTAGGCGTTGTACACAAAATGTCTAGTTTGACAGTTATTCATTGTATTGCAATCTTCTGTTACTGATTCAGGTATGGAAAATATTTTGATGATATCGTCTAGGTAATGATCTTCGGATTTATATTTCAATAATATGCAATTTAACAGCCAATTAATTAACGAATTTCAAATTGTGATACGTTATTGAATAGAGAATTTTAAGGCCAATAAGATAGGCTACAATAAAATACAGGGTGCAATTTGAAAAAAAAAAAAAAGTTGGGTCTACTTCCAATCAAACAGGTGGTTGAAGAAAATTGTCATTGAGTTCAAGGGAACCGCCATCATCGATAATACTGATTACCGGAGCTGCTATATGCTTTGAACTAAATTTTTTTTTGAGATATCCTTTATTCTATTTTGAAGTGCGTCCCATATGAGAGATGAAACATCTTGTCATCAATTTGTTTATGATTTGTGCCACCCTGTAATTTTTCCCAAGATTTTGCATTTCCCATATTTCGAATAACAGCAATGTATCTATGTCTTACGTTTATAATATAACGCCATTTCTATATATGTATAAAAACGATTGTCGATATATAAAAGGTGATATACCTCAACAACATGGCGAAATGACATTGACCGTATTAGAGCTCATGATTCGCCGGATTTTCTTATGTATCATCTCGCATTAATAACAAATTATATAGTGACGTGTTGATTGTATATTTTATATTGGTTACTGTGTAGCAATTCTGGGGAATGTCAGTGATGATTGTTGCTCAATACACGGATCCTTATGGCATTTCGTTTGGGGGACTTCGACGGCAGATGAGACGAGAAACTTTCTATAATTAGTCTCATAAAATGATTAAATATCAATAATTATATTATATTGTGTTAGATGACATAATGTGCGAGATATATGTTTTTTCTTATGACCGGATTCGGATTTCATCAGTGTCAAATCTGGTGGAGTCAGTCCTCAAGTTATCAACTGTTGAATCATTATAGTTATATTTATTATACAAGGGAAAAAGTATAGTCGATTTTATCGCGTCGAGAGACAAAAATCCGTGAGCTGAAATCTAATATGTTTCCCGTGTACAATACACTATTTTTTTCTGATGTGACAGATAAAAGGAACAAACAATATTGAGAAGATATTACATTATCTTGAAATCAGAAAATTATCGACGTGAAATTTAAAGTTTTTAACACCTGATGCGTTGTAGGCATCTTTTTGCAGGCATCTTCATCATTCTTTTGGAGTCATCAGATATCTGTCAGTGAAATTCTGTGATTTGATTTTCAAAAATTTCGAACTAAGTGGAATGAAGTTGCAGTTCTTTTTTGGAGACGGTGTTATTGGTTTATTTTTCGAAACTATAGCACATCGAGAGCCTACAACAGGGTATATACAGGATGTTCCTTATGATATGCTAATATTCAAGGGGCTGATTATTCGACCCATTTCAAGAATTAAACTTCATGTGAACGTATCTCGTCCTAACTATGGAGATACAGAGTGTCAATGTTGAAAATATGCATAGATTATTTTTTTGTTCACCCTGTATCTTTTCCTAGTGGCAAAAATTCAGTATGCCATGTGACTTAATCGGTAGAATGTAACATATTATTGTGGTTATTCAGTAATGGATGTCCTGAATGGGGGTACTGAGACATCAAAATTTGAATTCTGGTCTGGTTTTTCCGTTTTTTCTCTAAGACGAAACGTTCTATCGAGTATCAACAAAAGGATCTTTTTTGTACATAATTTATGAAAAGTGACATTTTATAACTAGTCAACAGAGATGAAATGTCAAATTGTTTTCCCGTCACAGAAAATAATTATTTCTCCATCATCACTAGCTGTAGAACCTTTATATCATTTTCTACTACATGCTAACTATGAAACCTATACCATTATATAGGTACTCCTATTCAAGGTAGTTCTCGTCATTTTATGAACTACAATACTCCCTACTCAAAAAAGGCATACCCACCTCTGTTATAATCGACCCAAATTCACTGTTCTGATGCGAGTTTCGCAGGAATGCCACTCGAATCTAGTGTAGGTATTCATCAATAACAACATGGCTGGATTTTCATTAGAATTGAAAAGAAATGCTTTCATATGGTGACAAAGATCCATATTTCAGTTTCACACAACTATGATGATTGGAATATATGGCTATATAGTGGTGAAAAAACTGTGATATTCACCTTGGTATTGAAGAATATTATCACCATGGGACCTTATCCTCCTAGGCTGAAGCCTCTGGATATAATCTTCACTATACCTTGCTGTATAAATTATCAATCCATCATCAGATCCTTTCTCTATGAACTTTTTTTTCTTGTAAAATGAAAATTTCTCACGAGAAAGCAGACTACCTATTTATTTACTTCAACTTCATAAAATGATGTAGTTAAAACTATACAACAATGTTATTATTACCTGAATTTGATGCTATTTGAGATTCTATATAGATCTATAACAATGCATGAGCACCATTTATGAAATAACTATATACATTTCTTTGAAAGGAGATTAGATATAGATATACTTAGTAGAAGGCTGCCATACCAAAATCAGATTAACAAGAATATAATTATCTATTTCGGTTAGCATCATGGGAAAATTATTAATGACTAGATTTACAGGTCGCTCGTTATTATTATTTTTGTGGAACTATTCGGTAACCGCGATGTTATAATTTCGTTGTTTCTTGAGATAGATCTCACCCGAGATAGTACCTGTACATTTCAAAGGAAACCTAATTATATTCTGCACAATGCTTATCTCGTCATGAATTTACATCCCAAATCGAATATTGAATAATATTGTGAGTGGGTGATTTGAATCTAGTTTAGAAAATAATATTTCTCAATAGATCCGAGATATTCGACATTGGCCTGGATGCTGACGAAGATAAATTCAATTGTTTCTTGTTGACAAATTCAACGAGTACTTATAAGATAAGTCTCTTATATACCTATTTAAAATAATTAGTCACATTGAGGAGGATTCAAATACCATTTTTCAGTATTGTCATAAGCCTTATTGAAAAAGTAAATTAAGCAATACATTTAAAAGAAAACATTGAATTTCAAATATTCCGACTGATAATAGTAGGAGAACCGGCTGCAGATTTCTACTGTCATCTGATAACGAAATGATTGAAAATTAGCACTTTCCTGTGCGTAAATTTGCACTCGATTTCGCGATTTGATATCGAGATGAGAATTATGTCTGAGCCAAATCGACTTCACAACGATTTATTTGCTTCTATTATTCTGGACATACTGGCGTCATTAACAAGTTGAAACAAAAAGTAAATGAAAGGAAAAATGGGAGTGGCAGAGCGTCAACTAAATTGGAACTCATGTGGTGCTCACACTGCAAGTATTCTAATCCACATAAATTCAAAATACCTCCCTAACAAGGTATAAATTAACCCCTTGTACAATTTTAAAATTCTGAAGGTGTGGATCTTTAGGGCAGGAGGTGGATGAGTGGTTGAAAATTTTACCAAAAAATTTAAATCGACCTGCCCAAGAATTTTTCAAATTATATTTCTATCATGAAAGTGCCATAAAAGAAGTATTAACATTGAGAATATAATTCATAAATTTGAATTGAAATTGTCGAATGAAAGATAAATTGAGACATTTTCATCCTAGGAACATTCCATAAAATTATTCAGGATTATTCGATCCTCCAAATCGTTTTATTTAAATGTGGCACCCATCCCAAATTTAAATAAAATATTAGTAAATTATTTAATGGACTCTAGAATCTGAATAAATTGATGAGGATATTTCCCAGTCAACAAATACATAAATTAAAGTAGATTTGTTGCTCGTCCAAATTTATTGGTGATGAATTAAGATAATTATACTGAACAATGTAATCGTATAATTCCGAATTAATAATTGAACAGATTTGAATATAACGTATAAAAAAATTTGGATGTTTTCGTGATGATGCATCATCCTGATTAGTAAAGGTCTTACAATTCTAACAGTTTAGTTGAAATCAAGGCAACATCAATGTTTATCGAAATAATATAGGAAAACTTCAACACCAAGGCCACTTCAGATGGTTTGCAGTTTATACCGATAGGATAGATCCAAGTCAGCTCCAAGCATCAAATAAGCTACTCAACAATTCAACAACAAGTTGATTATGTGTAATATTTTTTTCAATGCTGCTATTTTCATTCATGATGATGTGACTGATATCATTTTGGAAGGTGTATGTACTTCTTTGATATTTAGTTTGTTCATGAACAGTGTGATCTTTTCGCAGAATACATTTATGGAGGAAATTATGAATTTTTAGATTTTCAAAAATTTTTACATGTTACGTAAAATGATTTTCGTGAACTTATAAACCAAGAGTATACATTGGCTTTCAGAAAGTTGGCATCATCTTATTGGAAAAACCTTCAATAATCATTTATTTTGATATTCGACTTGAGCGTTGAGTTTTTTTTTTCAAAAAAGATGAAATATGGCCTATCAGAAACTAAAATAAGTTGTTGCAATGGAACGTTCGGAACAAAATGACATACATTCAAAATTCGAATAGGAAACTCTTTTCTTTATAAACATTTCGGAAATTTAAACAAATGATCCTATTCCAAAAGATAAATCCAAAAATCATGTGATATAGGTAGGCCATTTTTCATCTTTTTTGAAGCAAAACTCAGAGCCGAAGTTGAATTTCATTTTTTTTTTCTATAAATTGGCAACTTTCTGAAAGACACTGTAGACGGCATTCATAATAAATTCAAATTTTGAAGATATTTTTCCATACAAGCTCTATTGATTTACTTTTTGTAATGTGTGCATGTTATCTCATAATTAAACTGTTTTTTGAAGAATGTTTCTGAAGTTGAGAGTTGAAAAAGAGTATATGTATAATAGTCAATAACAATGTCTTGTTTTCACACATAACTATGAAAATTGGAAATGGTTTCAAAAAAATTTTCATTCTATTAGTAATAAATAGTATACTAATTAAAATTGCCCAGTCGTTTTTTTGTTCACAAGCAACACATAATCCAGATCACACAAAAATCGCCAAACACTGTCAGTTCTTGCAAAACCTTTTCCCGGATCACTGTTCCTGTTTACCACTCATCAAAAGGGCGCGAACACCGTTGCCAAATCCTGCCAAAATGTTGTGAATCTACTTACTTTGACTTGGGTGACCGCTATCTCCGATTGAATCACTGAACGCCAAGCTTCAAAACTGGTAAGAAGTCGCGAGAACCATCTTCTTATAGGCGCGCTTCTTGATATTGAGTCAGAGGTTAGGCTGAGATGCCACCACCTTCGACCGGAATCTCCGATAGACGCCTCTACAGGGTGTTGGTCGACGCCTTGATACGATATACCGATTGGAAATACCTCGAAATATTGAGTTTATGAACCAAAAGATTCTTCATCTTGATTTTTTAACAGAAAAATAGATTAAGATGATAGAAAAATAATGGCTGTATACACATTGCATGACTAACATACTCCGAAGGTGGAGTAGTTTGAAAAAACGATTGAAAATCTCAAAAACTTGAATTCTCGAACCAGTCAATTCTTCCCCTTGATTTTCCTACTGAAATCAGGTTAGGGTGCATCTAAATAACACCGAAAAAATTCAAGGGGTGATTCCTTTTGATATTTTAGGAAATGAAGTTCATGTGAACATGTGTCCTTATATGCTTCGTTTTCGAGATACAGGGTATTCATATTTCCATGAAAGATCGTTTTTTATTCATTACTCAATTGTCCTTTCATCAATTTCAATAGAACGTTGTGGTTTGGTTAATAGTAATATTGAGCTTCTTCTGGTGCAGTTAGATTCGAAATAATACTTCCAGTGGCGTCATATTATGTATATTAGATCGAACCATTTAAATAACAACTTGTGATTTTTGTATCTAGCTCAGTTTTTGGGAAAACAATAAAATTTCGATTTGACTCCAAATTTAATGTAGGTGTTTTCAAGACTTCTATTGAGATTACTCAATAACCCCAATTACAATCATTTCGAAATTTTGGGGCTTTCTCAGTCTCCAACCATACTGAATTTTGGCACCATGAAAGCTTATACAGGGGAGTTAGAAATTAAAACAATTGATACTTTCAACTTCAACATCCTCTATCTCGAAAACTTAGTAAGTTGGGAAACATGTTTATATGAACTCTATTTGCTAATTTTTTCGGTGTTATTTAGATACACCTTGTAGAACAAGAAAGGCTGTATACACATTGACTTACATACTCCGAAGGTGATGGAGCAGTTTGGAAACACGGATTGAAAATATCTCGAAAAATCAAATTTTCAAACCAGTCAAATCTTCACCTCGATATTCCAAATCGGTCTAGTAGTTTCGGAGTCTTTTCAATACGAACAAACATACAAACAACCGAAGTTTTCCTTTTTATAATATTATATTGATATAGACAATAATTCAGCGATAAGAAGAATACAACAATTATTGATTTTGAAATATGCTCAATTTCCAGGATTAACATTGATATACAGGGTGTCCCGAAATTACATAGAAGACTTTTGCTGCAGATTCTGAGAACAAAAATTGTATTTTATTCCTAGCCTTTCGACTAGATCCTTGGAATTCTGTGTCAGCGTTTTGTACAAAGTCTTTATAGAGACCCTGTATACCAAAATCGCTCTGAATATCTGAAGCTCGAATGGAAATTACTCATTTTTTTACAAACCAAGTCTATGAAGTTTACAAGAAAGTTAAAATACGATTTTCTTTCAGCATCTTTGTTGTGTCAATACCCTGTATATCCAAAACGCGGATGTTTCGATAAATATTCATAAAACGGCTCGCCTGTCGCATTAATTGGACTTACTTAGGAAACACCACGTATATAATTTCATATTCAATAAACTTTTATAGCCATTGTCAATCGATTCTGAAAGACATGCCTCTGCTTTTGTAATTTTACTACCATTAATTATTATATCTACTATTTTTATTTGCCAACTGGAAGACCCGATTCGACCCCTAGTGACTCCATAACAAGTTATTCCATTACTTTTTCAAGTAAATATACATCAAATACAGGGTGTCAATTCGAAAACTTCCCATGCACCCTAAATATCCTCGTTCCAGTAAATAATAAGAAAAATCGAAAAGACAGGTCATTTTATTTTCAGCCCTTATGGTTCAACTTCCTAGAAGGGGTAGAAGTTAGGTATAACCTCAGAATCTCAAATGGGAAGGGGGTCAAGTATGGCACATCGTTTTGAAGGGTGTTGAATTCTTCCACTCGACCCTCCTTCCCATTTGATGTTCTGAGGGGAACATCTACCCCTCTTATGGGGATGAAAAAATACATTTAAAGTTTCCCCCCTGAAAATAAAATAAACCTGTCGTTTCGATTTTTCATATTGTTCACTGGAAGAAACATATTAAGGGTGGGAAGTTTATAGTTGTTTGAGTATTTCAACAGTTTCGTAATTTATTTTATAGAATTTATCTTTTTTTTTTTTTCTTTATAATAATGATATGATGGATGGTGTTAGTAAATTCTGAACAAATCAAGTGAAGAATGGATGAGGTAAATGTACTTGAAAAACGTTGATTTACATCAAGTTGTTCTATGCTAATTGCCGCGTTTTTTTTGATGAGCTCATCTGAATATCCTGGTCTTCGAACACCAAATCTATTTTTATCTATAGGATGGCCGCAAAAAATTATGAAAATTTATATACTTGTGCGCATGGATTTTGTGGTTTCATATAATTTGTGTTATTCCGGATGTACAGTGTGTCCAGTTTTCGAGTCTTTTGCGAGATATCTCAGTTTTTGCGATCCTGTGCCATATTTTTGTGAAACTGAAGATGGCCTTATCAGATTCTGCATAACTGTTTCCGTTTATGAGATACAGGGTGATTTGGAAAATTCATACTTTTTGATCCCTCTCTATACCCACGAAGTTCCTCAGCGAAATCGTCAAATTGAAATCTTATTCCATAGAGAATTTTATGCACACTCAAATTTGTTTTTTCGGGGTATGGTTTCGGAGATACGACTCAAACTTTTGATTTTTCAAAAGGAACACCCTGTATCTTATAAGCTCGTTAAATTCCTTATTTTCCTTCCTCTCAAAATGATATATAATGTGCGAATATAAAATTTTCAAAAATGCACCAAAATAACTAAAACATTGAATTTTAATAGTGTGCTATGGATTCTTCACATGAAAAAGTTTCAAGTGGAGGAATATTTCTTTTGAATTTTCCATGAAATGGATCAAAACTAATCAGCTAAGAAAACACAAAAGTTGGGTACCGAATAGCAAGAGATAAATAGTAATAAAAAGTTTATAATGTCGAATAAAGTAAATTATTTATTGAATTGTTCAAATGGATGTCCTTTTTACAAAGACATCTTTAAATGATTTTGAATGCATTGAGAAAGTTGAGAAAGTGTGTGAGGAAAAATGGACATCAATTTGAATAATTCAATGAATAAGTTACTGAATAATTTCGAAGTTCAATTGCTTTAGTAAATATTTAATCAGGTGATTATTCTACATTATGAACTTTTTATTACCATTTATTTGTTGCTATCATGTACCTAAGCTTTGTGTTTTGTTAGTTTATTAGTGTTGGTATTGTTTTTGTCCACTTGATGGAAAAATCAGAAGAAATATTCTTTCAGTTGGAACTTTTCTTCCATGAAAAATCCATAGCCCACTATTAAAATTCAGTGTTTTAGTGATTTTGGTGCATTTTTGAAAAATTCATATTCATACATTATATATAATTTCGAAAGGAAAAGAATAAGGAATTCAATGAGCTTAGAAAATACGAGGTGTTCCATTTAAAAAATCATAAGTTTGAGTCATATTTGCAGAACCCAACCCCGAAAAATAATTTTGAGTGCGCCACTGGATTCTGGGATAAAATTCCAATTTGACAATTTCGCTGAGAAACTTCGTAGATATAGAGAGGATCCAAAAAGTACAAAAATTTTCAAAATCGCCCTGTATGTCATAAACGGAAACAGTTATGCAAAATCTGATGAGGCCATCTTGAGTTTCACAAAGCAGTGGCAGAGGACTACGAAAACCGCAAGGTTCTATCTCCAAAGATAACTGAGATATTACGCAAATGCATCGCAAACGGACACACTGTACATTACATGTCGTTATAACTCTGGAAAGCCCATAATACTATAGTGACCTGCAAAAAACGGTAACTCGAAATTGCCTCCCAATCTCAGAGTTCGCTTTCTCTCGAACCGTTTATCTGAATTTTTTCAACTACAGATTGATTCATCAATAACGATGCTTCGGTAGACATTTTGATTCAGATTTTAATTGAAGAATGGAGAGAATCTTCATCCCGACCGGCTTCATTTTGTTTTTTTGTGCTGGTTTTACAACTGATTGTTTACAGCCTTTTCACCACGCTTTTTATATGTTTGTATGTAACGTGGGATCATCTTCGAACGTTATTTTGGTCTGCTTCAAAACTTTGAATTGAATTGAAACTTCGCACACTGCTTATATCAAGCACCGATGACAATGGCATAGTTTAATTGTTTGGTTCCATTATACTCTTCGGAATCGTCAGCGATTTTTTACTCACGAATAAAATAATAATTGTGAATGATGTCGTTGATGTGCCGCCAGCAAAATTCAAAATGTTCCTTCACCAAAATTTCAAATATACGTTTTTATTCTTTCGAATAACTCTTTAGAATACTTTTTGTATCCAGAGGCACGGCATCGTCTTACACCAAGTACCCGTATAGATAATTACATCCAGCTACGCGGAGGAAGGCAACACAACCTGGAGCTAAAATTTACTACTTTTTGCCCTTGTATAATAACCTGATCAGCAGATTCTTCAGTATCAGCACACATCCAGAGACACGGCAGTGTCATGCACCAAGTATACTCTTTTATGATACAAAAATATATGCACGGTGTCCCAAAATTACATAGAAAGATTTCAACCACAGATTTTAGGAACAAAAATAGTAAAAAAACTCCTTATAAACATGGGTCCAGTCCAGTGCAAATGAGAATCGTATCAGAACATATGGGTCCCCCTCTTGACTCACCCTGTATATATCCATTTTTTTATTTTTTTTAATGAATCTGAAAATATTCCTTTCTCAATAAATTGTGGTTCAGAAAACTAAAAAGACACGTTTTTATAACTAGTTTTCATAGATGAACTGAAATGTAATTCATT